ACTGATTGGTTTTTCTTTATGATTTCAATCTCTTTTGTGAAGAAACTCCTAATCTCACTGAATTGTTTGTCTGTGTTGTCCCATATTTCGCTGAGTGTTTTTACGATAGCTATTTTGAAATCTCTGTCATTTAGGTTATGTATTTCTGTGTCTTCAGGGTTGGTTTCTGGGTGCTTCTCATTTTCCTTCTGGTCTGGTGATTTCATGTATCTTTGCATTGTGGTTCCTGTGTTGGCTCTGTTTTTCCTCATCCTGGAAATCTCTGGTTGTAATTTCCACCCGCGCCACTGTGTGGCTGTGTAATCTGAGCCTCCTGCGCTCTGCCTCAGTTTTTCCGCTGCGATCCGCGGGTCGGATCACTTGGTCTGGTCTGCCGCGGATCGCTTGGTCTGGTCTGGCCGGCTGTGCTTCAGGGTCCAGTTTGCGGGGAGGGGGGGTTCTCTCTTTTGCCCGCTGGGTCCCTGGCGTGGGGGGCTTCTCGTTCGCCCCTTGTTATCCGCTCTCTGGGGTGCTCAGATGTTGATGGTACCCTGTAGCAATTCTGAGTCCTGTGTGTGGGAGTTTCCCACTGGCTGAGAGAGCCCGAAGAGCTATGGTTTCCCCGCAGAGGGCCGCCCCTCCCCCCCTCTGGGAGCCACGGGAACCTGGATCGTTGATCTGATGGGGAGGGAGAGGAGTTCTCCTTACCTCTCCCCACTTCCTCTGGGGGCCCAGCACGTTCCACTCTCAGAAGTGTGGCAGTGTGGATCTTTCTGATCCTGCTTTTCTCTGTCTAGGATTCCATTGTTGGTCTGTGACTGTTCCTTTTGTTGTGTCTTATTGGGGGAAGAGTTTACGGGAAAGCTTACTCCGCCATGCTGACGTCACTCTCAGTAGGTATTTTTGACAGGAAGCAAAAAATTAAGCTTATTGTAGTTAACATATTTCATTCTTCTGGCCTTTTAACTACCTTCCAGAAAAATAATTGTTTTTCAGTGTTCTGATTATTCACAGAATGATGGTACATAGATCCCTGTTTTGTAAATTTTTTTTAAAAAAAATAGTAACAATACAAAAAAAAAGATAACACATTAAAAAATCTTACACTCACCCTGTCCCTATCTACTAATTTCACCTATTCTCCTTACCCCTACAAATAGCCACTTTTACTAGTTTCTTATGGATCCTTCCAGAGATCCTTTAAGAAAACATAAGCAAATAGTTTCCCCCTTTCTTATACAGAATATAGCATAAATACACACTGCCCTGTATCTTGCTTTTTTTACTTTACAATATATTCTGGAAATCTTGCCATATTAGTAATTATAGAGCTTCCTCATTCTTTTCCTTTCCTTTCTTTTTTTTTCTTTTTTAAACAGCCATGATGATAGACAAAATAATGGCCCCCAAAGCTGTCCATATCTTAAAACCCAGAATCTGTAAATATGTTACCTTGCATGGTAAAACAAATTTTGCAAATGTGATTAAACTTAAGGATCTTGAGATGGAGAGATTATCGTGGATTATCCATGGGCCTAATGCAATCACAAGGACTCTTATAAGAGAAAGAAGGTGGCAGGAGTTAGAGTCACAGGAAGATATGTGTCGACAGAAGCAGAGGTTGGAGTGATGTGACCAGGAGCCAAGGAATGCAAGCAGCCCCTAGAAGCTGGAAAAGACAAAGAGCGGATTCTCCCTCAGCCTCCAGAAGGAACAGCAATGCTGACACCTTGCTTTTAGCCCTGTAAGACCCATTTTGGACTGCTGATCTCCAGAACTGTAAGATAAAAAATATGTGTTATTTTAAACCACTAAGTTTGTGGTAATTTGTTACAAAGACATAGGAAACTAATATAGTCATATAATATTTAAATGTTTGGATGGTTTATTTAACCAGTCATCTGTAGAAGAATAACAACTATCCCTTATCTTCTGCTATGAATGATGTACCTACATCATTCATGTATGTACCAATGAATGATGTACCTACATCATTCAATGAATGTATGTACCTAAGAGCTTCTTACATGTGCAGATAAGACTACAGGTCAAATTCCCAGAAGATGGATTGCTGCTTTGTAGGGCATGCACATCTGTAACTTTGCTTGGTGCTATCATTGTCTTCCAGAGAGTTTACAGTACTATGTAATCCCACCAGCGACGTATGAATGTTCAAAGCTAAAACTTGATGTATTAAAAAACCAACAAACTATTCTGGATAGTAATGAATATGTGCTGCTCCTAAATTCCCAAATTATACTAGAAAGCCCTGCTCAAGAAGGACATGAAGGTTAGAACTAAGCCAATTCAAATACACAATATAGAAATAACACCTTCACCAAAGGACCATGCTTCAACCCCAGGCTACTACGACACCTACCTGTAAAGGAGTGGCACAAGTGTAAACGGTGTTTTGTTGAACTGTCTGTAAGTGTTTTATCAAATGATTAGGACCAATGGACCAGCCAAGCTGGGAAAGGAAAAGATAAAACAGATTTCAAAAATGAATCTAATTTTATGTACTAAATCTGAGAGAGTAGCTAAACTTGACGCAATTATTAAATATATGTAATTCTAAAATGTTTACACTATGAAAGTAGTGCAGCATGAGTAGTTAGAATCACTTCAACACTGTCCTTTTTGTGGAAAAGTTTCCAACTAGTCACTAAACTCTGCCTTCAGAAGGTGAAGAGCGCCTGCAATCATTATTATTCTTACCTACTTTTCAGATTTGCTACTTCTCATATTCTGGAGACCTAAAAACCAGTAACAAAGCTTGTTTGAATTAGATATAGATAAAAGTAACTCTGAATGAGGGCCTAAGGGACTCTTCCACAATTCGGTTCTGCAGGCATCATTTCTGATAATCCCTGCTTCTTAGCCATGTTCCACAGAGGTGAGGTTGGAAGATAACCAAGTCTCATTGGGATAAACGGTTATTGTATTACATAGTACAGGGTTATGGGTATGGTCTCTGAAGCTGGACTGCCTGCCCTGGCTTGAATTTATTAGCAGTGTAACCTGAGGCAAGTTACTTAACTTCTCTGTGCTTTAGTTTTATTGTCTGTAAAATGGGGACAACACATTATACTTACCTCATAATGTGGTTAAGAGAATGAAAGGAATCAGTGTATGTAAAGTGCTGAGAGCCTGGCACAGAGTAAGTGCCAAAACATTAGCTACTATTGTTTTTTCTCCTTTTTATATTAATATGCACTAATCTGAACATTCTTTGCAAAGAAAAGAGTGTTAGTTGATGACTTATAAAATGAAAGATTACCTAATTTTTCTTTTTTTTTTTTGGTGAGGAAGATTAGCTCTGAGCTAACATCCGCACCCATCTTTTTCTATTTTATATGTGGGACACCAGCCACAGCATGGCTTGAGAAGCAGTGCATAGGTCCGTGCCCGGGATCCAAACCTGTGAACCCCGGGCCGCCCAAGCGGAGCGTGGGAACTTAATCACTATGTTACTGGCCTGGCCCCTAATTTTTCTCATTTGTAAATAAATAATTAGGTCTCAAAAAGGATAAAGGTCAACACAAAAGCTGAACGAGTAAATAATAAGCTAAGATCAACAAGTATCAAAACCTGGGTAAACTGAATATATATGCATTTAAAACACAAAAACTGTACAGGAAATAAAATACATGCCTATTTTTAAGCAATTAAATTCTTATTCATCTTACCTTCCAGCCAGTCACACTGAAAGTCTTTCCAGCACTTCCTATTGTTATTGTTCTCTCCCACATACCAGGAAAAGTGGCTGAACAGGAAAAGAAAAAAAAAAAGGTCAAATAACTGCTTTCCAATCAATCTAGATTGAGTATAATCTAAAAACATAAGATACGTGAATTCAATGAAAATGAACATATTATAGTGTAGTCAGTATAGTTATTTCAATAGGTTTTTTTTAAGATAATGTAAATTTAACCCAAACACAGTTGAAAATGTTACAATGCTTTAGAACACTGTAACATCACACCAAAGTAATATGTAAACAGATTGAATAATTTTAAGTAGCAAAATTATTTCCAGGGCCAGGAGTGACAGAGGTGCCAGTAGGCAGTGTTCTGGGCTTGTTCCGTGCAACACCCAGCGATCAGTGTTAGTAGTAGCTGTGCGTTCAGTGTAATCATCCTGTGGCACAGTTTTGGTTGTGGTCCTGGCTACTGTTTAGCCCACCTCTACTCTGCCCATTTTCTGAGTCTATTTCTACAGGATTCCTAGGGCAATGGTTCTTAAAATGTGGTCCCCACACCAGCAAAGTCAGTATCACTGGGACCTTGTAAGAAAGGCAAATTCTTGGGCCTCATCCCAGACCTACTGAGTCAGAAACTCTGGGGGTGTGGCCCAGCAATCTGTGTGCGTGCGTGTGTGTGTGTGTGTGTGTGTGTGTTTTGCTAACAAGTTTATTGAGATATAAATCCCACAATATATAACTCACTCATTTAAAGTATACAATTCAGTGGTTTTTAGTATAGCCACAGAATTCTGCAACCATCACCACAATCAATTTTAGAACATTTCTTTTACTTCAAAAGAAGCCCTGTACCTTTTAGGTATCACTCCCTAACAACCCCATGGCCACCAGCACTAGTACTTGTGCCTAAATGGAGCTTATCTACCACACATATTTTCTCTGAAATGCATATCACAGCTTCCTGCCGTTAAGAACATCAGACAGCACTTTAGCACAATGCTTAGGGCCATTTTAAATAGCAAAATCACCATGAAAAGGACTCTTGCTCATAGAATGAGCTGAAACAAGAAAGCAAAGTGTTGTCTCATTCCACCTCAACTGGGAACATGCATATACGGTAACAAATTTTTCGTACTTCTACGCATGTCTCCAAATGAAGTGCTGTGAGTATTGCTTTTGAGGTTACAAGTATATTTTAGTAAGTAGGTGAATTCACAAATACAGATTCCATGAATAATGAGAAATGACTGTATAAAGATTTTCAAGTTGATTAATAACTTGAATAAAATCATTCATTTACTCATTCACTCATCAAACGTTAGTGCCAGGGACTAAGCCAGGTCTAGGGGAAGCAAAGACAATTAAGATACAGTTCCTATCTTCAAGGAGCTTAATGTCTAATGGGGGTATAAGACAAGTAAAGCAACAATTGTAGCACAGCGTCGTAAGTGCTATAAGAGCAATAGGCTTGGAGTATTATGCAAGGATAGAAGAAGGGGTGAAGGCAGCTTTCTGCAGCCAGTAATGCTTGAGCTGAGACTTGGAAGACTATACAGGCTGTGCCAAGCAGAGAAGGGGAAGAAAAGTATTCTGAACAAAGGGAATGCAGGAAACAAAGTCATGGAGGTATAAAATGCAGAAGTTTGCAAATTTTGTTGGATATTCGTAAATTATTCCTCTATTAATCTTCTGATAATGCTACCTACAACACTGCTTATTGGATTCCTTAAGTAATTTAGTTGTGAAATTCTTCACATGCAATCCTGCAAGTTTTTCACCTGTTTTTCAGAGGTACAATGGATGCTCTTGTTTTGTTCTAAAGGTGTTGGTACACACAAAAGGGAAAATAAATACTCATTTCTGTGGTCTAAACTACTGTTTTTTTAAAGTAATATGCTCATAAGCAAGTTAAGTGCCCAGTAAAATGTAAGGTAGCTAAAGAAATTCCCCAAATGGATGCATTCATAATTTCAGTCCATCATGAAATACCTGCCAGTATTTGCAAAGGCAGGAAAACTATATAAATCAGAAATGTTACAACTGTATTCTCTGTGGAGCATACCAAAAAACCAAAAGGAAAAATGAAGAAAATATTTAGAGGGTCCATTTAAAGAAGGAATTTTCTAACATTTGATATAAATAATTACATCCCTTCACGTTCTGAGACATTTCTAGTCTTCCAAAGTATTCCAAAAGACCACCATGACACATCCCACTTTTTCATTTGACTAGAGAAAATCTAAACTATGTATAACACAAAGTGTCACTTCCTTTAAAGTATTAATATATATCCAAAATCAGGAAGGCCTATTAGTAAGAACATTTAGAAATAAATTCTTTGACAGCAAGAATTACCCAGAGAAACTAATACAATCCTAACCTGTTCTCACTATAAGTTATATATGAAGGAAATCAAAACTACTCATATGTCAAATGTAGGTTTTGTTCACAAAATATCAAATCCAATTACAGTATTTAAAAGGAGAGCTAACTAATTTGTTAACGACTATTGTAGCCATATAAAAGTAGATATGTTTTTTTCAAAGAGTAAGCTGATCAGCTGAATAACTTACAAGGAATTTTATACTAATTTTCTAAATATCAATGTATTAGTATATCTCTCTTCTAGAAGAGAGTTTTCTTTTCGTTGACTGAAATGTTGTTTTACTCAAACCTGGAGACACAATTTGAATCAAGAATCTGGTCCAATACAAATTAGTTCTACTATTTCAATAAAAAGGGCCTTAAGTAATTTTAAAACATCTAGATGTTCATATCCTCTCAATCTCAGAGATTTGGGGAGCCACAGAAGTTAATGCAAAGGGATGACCACGCCACTGCATAGGCCAAAAAAAAGAAACAATCTTTGCAGGTCTGATGATTTTAAAAAACTGTATCAGTATACCATAAGTTTAGCTTGCAGTTATATCTGAAGGGCACCTGGTCTTTGCACTTCCCATTTGTGACTCTGGATCTTTACATCAGCTACAGCAGCTGTAACAGTTATTCGTAAGGGACTTAGGCTTCAGTAGAATTCCGATAGAGATGAGAGGCATGATGAAGAGTGTGACACCAAGGAAAACCGCCTCTGTGACAACATGAAGATGATGCTAATTTCCCAATATATGCCTAGAAAGCCTTATTGCATTGTATTAAAGAACTACTATCGCACTCTGCAAACTGATGGAATAGCCATTTTACATGTTTCATGTAACAAAGGCCTCTGTATTTGATGAAATATCTAAGTTTTCATGCAACTGAATTGCACTCTCTAAGTAATGAAATAGTGAATTCATTTTTTTCTTCTTTTAACTTTATGGGCTGTTACAACAACTAAAAAGTCTGAGTTAAAAATGTATGTCTTGATATCTTTAGCAAATAATATTATCAGTTACACTTTTACCATGAAGGGCTTATAATACTATAACATAAAGTTTAAACAATATACTAATAAAGGTTTACACAATAAATTTCAAGATCATTTAAAGTAATCTTTTGGAAAGAATATTGCTAAACTGAGTTAAAAAATTCTAAAGCTTTGAGTTATTATCACATAGACATGAATATATATAAAATAATATTTATTCATTCAATGGATGCCTCTTCCTCTCTCTGGTTAATCCAAAAAAATTACAAAAGTTATGAATTGTCCAAGTCGGTCTGATTTTCAACTGGGGAATAGTTCCAATGACCAGAGACAGAGGTCATCAACAAGATGGTGACGGTGAACTCTGATGCGATTTTGACAGGCAACAAGAGGTTGCTGTGTTAAGGCACCACACCTTGCAAATCGCTGGCCTTCTTCTCTTTATACATTCTCCCTGAGAGAAATTCCTTCTGTTCCATGGGTTCTACTATCCATAAAATTTTGATGACAGCTGAAAATATATCCCCTCATAATTTGATCCTGGGCATCAGGCCTGCAATTCCACTTGTCTCCAGATGTCTCCTCCTCTATGTCCCACAGACACTGAAACTTAGCAAGTCTATAGCATGAGAAGCAGGAATTTCCTTTGCTCAGCTCTTCCCTACAGATCTGCTCCTCCTCTCACCTCTGTCTCTGGTTAAGGGCCTCATTACTGCTGAGTGTCCAGGCTAGAGATCCCAGAATCATACTTGCTTGTTCCCTTCCCGCCTTCAAATGCCATACTCTGTGCCCTACAGTTGTTACTTACAAATAGCCCCCACGTATCGTGTCCACTGCCAGGGCATCTGACTTGCTTAAGATCCTTACCAGTAGCTGGCTGTTACCTTTATAAAACAAATCCAATCATGTATCCAATTCCCCTGCCTTGTCACACTTTTGCAGTAGTACTCAAAGTATGCTCGTTGGTAATCTGGTGATCAAATTAATGTACAGAACTTTTTTAAAAAAAATCAATTTTAAGTTTTCTTCCACAAAATGTTCTTAAGCCACAAAATTTTCTTAAGCATTTAACATAAGTGCTACCACTTATCTGATAGTGAATCTACCAATAGTGACACAAATGAGCATTTAGTAAGTGAATGTTAATGGCAAAATCAGAAACACTCAGATGTATTTATTTCAATAACTCTTTGTTATAGACAAATACGCACAGAATCGTGATCTTTATACTGACTTATCCTACTTACTAGATTTCTGTTAGGTAAATTGCTTCTAGTTTCGGAAGGGAATGCAATCACTAAAGTGATTAAGTGATTAAACTCTATCACTAAAGTAAGTTTCAGAACCATGACCTCCTCAACAAAGTTTGGACTCTTTCTTCTCCTTCAAAGTCCTTCAGAATCACTCTACTTTTCCACCTCATCTGTGCCAATTACTACAATACATCTCATAAACCACTTACCTTTCTTAAGTGTACTTGATTTTTCACGCTTCTTTGCCTCAGAACATGCTAGCGTATGTGATAGGAATTTTCTTCCTACTTCTCTGTCTAGCTAATTCCATCTTTTGCCCACTCTTTTGTTGATCCTCTCAAGCATTTGCTTTCTCCTCTGTGTTTCTATAACAATATGTAATGTACCATAGCGATAATTATGATATGTACAACAACTATTTATACCTAAGTGCACTAATTTTTTTTTTATTGGTTTCTGCCACAATGATTTTAGTTATCTTTCCCTGATCCTTTTCACACTTCCTATTCATTTATTCAACAATTACTTTCTGATTGTCTACCATATACGGGACCATATTGTGGGAACTAGGGATTCAGAAGAGACCAAAGCAAACAAAAATCCCTACTTTCTTGCAGGTAAGAAGTAAAAAATATATATCTTGATATTTGCTTAGGAAAAAAAAACAAAACAGAACAGAACAGAAAAAAGACAGAGCAAAAGCTGGAAGGAGAGATGTAACTATCTAACATGTTGTGGTCAGAAAAACTGATATCTGAATAAAGACCTGAGGGAGGTGGGAGACTGAGCCATGTGGAGATCTGGGGAAAAAGTGTTTCCAGGCATAGGAAGGGCAAGTGCAAAGACCCAAAGGTTGTAGCCCAGCTTATTATCCTATAGCTGATACAAGTTTGGATTACCCCAGAAGACACCAGGGCATTTGTGAGATGGCCCAGTAGTAATGGCAAAATCGCAGGCAAGGGCCAAGTAGCAATAGCTTACTGTCCCTGTAATTTTTTCCTGTTGACCTGGCATTTTGTCAACTTACTCAGCAAAGACAGTCAAGTTCGGGAACAAGTAAGCCCCCTGTGTCTTCTGTACCAGGTAATAGCTGGTTTCTTGATATAAGCCAAGGATACAGGCAAAGGTACTATTTCTCTGATTTCATAGCTTTATAGTGTGATCTGAAATCTCTTCCCCTAAGTTTGTACTATTTGTCCTTTAATCTGTTCATTAATCCACTCAAGCATCATTTATTTAAATCCCATGGTTAAGTGCTCATATGGACAGATGCCTGTTACCACACTATTTTAAAGCTGTTCTGGGATCCATTCCAATCAGTTGTTCCACATGTGCCCAATCACACTTAGATTTGTGACGCTATGTAATAATCAGTACCTATTTTTAAATGCTTATTTCCAGTATATACAAGCCATTCATAAACCTCATCACTGATGCAGAGTGTGTCGTGTTTGATGCACAGGTCAGCAATTACTTGGAGCTCCTCTTTGGTATACACCTACACAGGCAAGGAAACAAAAGAGCAGAGCCAATTAGGATTCAACACATGAGAAATCATGGGCGAGAAGACTGTCTAAAGAGATCAAAGACTCACTCACCTTGCCCATGGGGTTATGTGGCGTATTTAGTATAATTGCTTTGGTTCTGGAGTTAAATTTACTTGCCAGTTCTTGAGGATCTAATGTCCAGTCAGAACTAGACCATTTTTTTCCATGAACAGGTTTCTAAGCATGAAGAATGAAGATGTGATTTAATTCAATTAACTCATGTTTGCTGTCTTATATTTAAATAACCCAATAAGGGAAAAAATTAGAGAAAGACATGGCAAAGGTAACTGAATAAACGACTAACAAAGAAAATACACAGAAACAACTAAGCTTTAGTGCTGCCTTAAGAGCCCAAGAGCACTTAAGTCTCATGCTCACTCCTGTTAAATGGAAACAAGAACTCTGTCAATATTAAAAGCTGTTAAAGGGCCTATGTTCCTTCAAAGGAGCCAGTGATAACTATGGTTAACCTGTCTGATACTGTAAGGCTAATAGAAGATTCTGTGATTCACCTTATGTATTACTTATTTTTATAAGACTATTTAAAAGACAATGGTCGTATACCTTCTTATATTCCTAAAGATAATAGCAGAATAAAAAAAAATCACTTCACTGAGAATTCAGCAAGCGTTTACTGAGCGCCTAGCGTATACCCTGCATTGTCAGCCACTGGGGAGCAGTGCTGTAAAAGTGAGTCAGAAAATGGTCTCTGACCTGGTGGTGCTCACCATTGGTGGGGGAGACACACGGCCACAGAAGATAATGTTACATACAGTGTGGATGCTGACACAACAGAGACACATGGCAAACACATGTTTGATTAATACAAGTTCCCTTCTTAAAGTTGGTGATGACCTTCAGTCACAGCAGAGACATACAGTAAATCCCAAAATGTAATCCAAGTAGAAACTTCATTGGTGACAAAGTAATCGGTATTTTCAAAACTTCTTAAAGCATGTGAATCGTCTTGGCAAACTTACAGATCTCAGGGGAATAAAAACAGGTGTTGCTCCAGCCATTCTCACCATGGACTCATAGCAGTCATAGAAAGGCACTATTACTATGACCTAGAATAAAACCACATAAGAACACAGAGTAGCAATCATTAATTCATTTAACAAATACTGTGTATCTACTATGTGGGAGGCACTGTACTACAAGCTGAGATGCAGCAGTGAAAAAAGCAGGTCACAACGGCGAGCATTTCAGTGCTCTCTTCTCTTATAGCCTTGCTTCTGTCACTATGAAGTGCTGATGTATAAGTATGATCCCGAGAGTAAAGATGTTTCTCTTCTCAAAAGCATCCTGAAACAAAGAGTGCATGCAGGGAGACCAGTTATTTTATTGTTATTGTCCGATACCTACAATTTCCCTGCAGGTGACATGTCTGCATGCTGTCTTTTGTGCTAGCCCCTTGAGATGCACTCCTTGCCCCTTTGCCCCTATATGCTCTCTCAGTGGCCTGGCTTTTGGGTCAGTGGGCCAATCCAACCAGCCCAGTCAGTATGCCACCTGCAATCCACAGGCTGGATCTAGCATCCCTGACTTTTTGCTTTTCTATAAGGAGAGTTTGAACACATAGTTTGTAACCATGGTAGACATGCAATTTTTCTATCTTTTTTCAACCTAGCAATATTTCACAAAATTTCATATTATTGTGAAATTTAATATTTATTATTTTAATGGTTATTTGAGAGTCTACTGAATTCTAGAATAATTTTCTTATCATTTGCTTGTATAAATTACAATGCTATGTTCATTTGTATGTGTAGTTTCTCTATTTTTAAAGAGTTTGCTGAATAAATTGACATGATTGCTATTGCTAGATTAAAGGGTATAAACATCTTTATGGCACTTTAAATATATAGCCAAACTGCTTTTGAAAAACCTGGCAACAATTTATAATTTCACAAGTCTACACTAAATTGTCTCATTTAACTTTTTGTTGGTTAAATTAATGATACCTAATTATTGTTTTAAATTTGCACTTTTTTTTTTTAAAAGCTTCAGTACATGGTTGTGTATCCTGGTTGTTGGTTTCTAGTTCTCTATGTGAGCTGCCACCACAGTATGACAACTGACAGACGAGTGGTGTGGTTCCACGACCAGGAAACGAACCCATGCCATGGTGGTGAGAGCGTCGAATCTTAACTACTAAACCACTGGGGCTGGCTGAAATTTGTACTTTCCTTTGTTTGTATTTCTTATGATGTGAAATATCTGTTCAAGCCCTTTCTCAGAGGAGTCATATGAGGCCCTTACATTCTAAAGCCCCTTTGTTTGTCCTAGTCATTCAACAAACGTTGAGCATCTACTCTACAATGTGCTATGGTAGGCGTTAGGTACTGTGCAGAACAAAGAAGTGAACCAGGAACAGGTCTTTCCCTCAAGCGGACTATAAGTTCTTAATAGCCTGTGAAATTCTAGGGACTAAGACGACCTATCTTTGCAACCCTGGTGAGAAACACAGTGCCTGATATGAAGTGAGAGCTCAATAAAGGAAAATAAATTGGTGAGGGACATAAAATTGAAATAATATACTTGACACTTTTTGTTGTAATTTCTTTATTTTTACAATGGGAATAATTCTCCTTTCTTTCTGAAGAATATTTATTGAGCACTCAGTATTATAGATGCTGGCAGTACAGCAATAAACTAGTTCTCCTGGAACTTACATTCTTTTTTTTTTTCTTTGAGGAAGATCGGCCCTGAGATAACATCTGCCAATCCTCCTCTTTTTTTGCTGAGGAAGACTGGCCCTGGGCTAACATCCATGCCCGTCTTCCTCTACTTTATATGGGATGCCGCCACAGCATGGCTTAACAAGTGGTGCGTCGGTGCAAGCCTGGGATCTGAACCGGCGAACCCTGGGCTGCTGCAGTGGAGCGCGCGCACTTAACCGCTTGCGCCACCGGGCCGGCCCCTACCTTCTATTGAGAGAGATAATAAACAAGAAAACAAGGAGGTAAATGAGATAATTTCAGATAGTAATAAATGCTATAAAGAAAATAAAATAGGTCAGTATGATAGAAAGTGCCGTGTGTGTGGTTTCCAAATGTTAGATAAGGTGATCAGGGTGGAAAGAACAAAGAAGGCCAAGGGCTGAGCCTTGGGATCTCCAACAGAGTGCAGAGGAGGAGGCAGCAAAGGATTAACAACCTAATGCATGAGACAAAACTTTCAACTATTTCACAGGATTAAAGGAGATGATGTATATGACAGTAGAACTGCACTTCCTTAACACGTTTCCTTAAGTAGCTTATTGTCTGGCTGAGTAGAGGGAATTAGAGACGTAAAAGAATAACATAACACAGAGTAATGTGGTATCTGTTATAAAAGAGGGACAGATAAAGTGCATGAGCATTCAAAGAAAGGAATTAACAATATAGATCAGGGCAAATATTCATTCAGCGTAAGCAGCGCCTCTCTGGAGCTTTCCAGACCCACATTAGCAGAGTTGATCACTTCTTCCCTTGGTACCACCATTACTGATACACTCTCCACTACTGGCCATCGCATCACATTCCTATTCATCTGTGCACAAGCCTGTCTCCTCTACTAGATAGAGAACTCCTTCCACGTGGAAGCTGTCTTTTAAAAATCTTCTTTCCCACAGGACCTAGCACTGGGAGATCCTCAATAATTTCTGAACAAATGAAAGAGGTCAGGAAATATTGAAGCAGGGGTCCTGGAATGCTAATGGGGAGGTAGGGGCAGAGCTGACTGAGCTCGGTGCCAAAGTGGGTCAAAGTACTAACCACTAGAAATCACTCAACCTTCTCGTTACACATCCCTCACACGGTGCTGCTAACAGTACCGGGCACAAAAAGACATTGACCAAATACTTATTGATTGAGTTCAGATGAAAGGTTATTTTAGCAGTGCAAACTAAAGAATTATTTTCCCCATCATTGCTAGCCCTTCCACCTGCCTTCATCTAAATAGGCTGTAAAAATAAGAATGAACTACATGTAACAAAACAGATGAATCTCACAGACATAATGATAAATGAAAGAAGCCAGACTCGAGTACATACTGTATGATTCTATTTATATCAAGTTAAAGAGCAGGCAAAAAGAACCTATGGTGACAGAAGACAGCAGAGTAGTTACCTCTGGGAGCATTTAGACTAGGACGGGGCAAAAGGGAGCCTTTTGGGGTGCTGGAAATGTACTGTATCTTCACCTGGTGTGTGGTTACATGGATACATACAAAAATTTATCAAGCTGTACACTTAAGATTTGTGAATTTTATTGCATATGCATTCCACTTCAAAAATAATTAAAAATAAAATAAAGCATAAAATAAGTAAAAGATTCAAAGGCAGGACAAATGATAACGATTAATACAGGTAACATGATAATACTTACTTCATCTCCTTCATCAATTAATCCTTGAATGGCATTAAAAAGAGATCCATATGCTCCTACTGTCACAAGGATTTCTTTATCTGGATTGATTTGCTTCTGATAAAATTTTCCATATAGACAGGACAGAGCTTTCACAAGTGATGGATGACCCTGTTGAATAAAAAAGAGGAAAAATACCTTGAATTTGATTATGGGATCTACTTCTTGGACGTAATTTGGCTCTAAAATGTAAGAATTTTAAAAATTTGGGTTTTATAATTATCCAAAGAAAATTTGTATTTTTAAATATTTGGCAGTAAATTAAAAAAATTCTTTTCTTAACCTCAGAGGGTTCCTCCGTGAATGGTCATGAAGACTTGCTAATGATTAAAAACTTCCTATTAAATGATTGGTTTTGGAATACAACATTTCAACGTATTTGCTTTGAATAAATATTGACTTCAATACCAAATATATTTTTGACAGTATATTTTTTGTGTGTGTGTGTGAGGAAGATTGGCCCTAAGCTAACATTGGTTGCCAACCTTTCTCTTTTTGCTGAGGAAGATTAGCCCTGAGCTAACATCTGTGCCCATCTTGCTCTATTTTGTATATGGGATACCGCCACAGCGTGGCTTAATGAGCAGTGCATAGGTCCAAGCCTGGGATCCGAATCAGCGTACCCAAGGCCACCAAAATGGAGCACGCGAACTTAACCCACTACACCACCAGGCTGGCACTGGCAGTACATTTTTTGACAATTAAATCACATGCAATTACTTTATTTTTAACAATAATTAAATCATATTGAATAGAGTTGGATTTTTTTCCCCAGTTAAAATAAGCCAAAAAACCAGCATTAACTGTATATCCCGGAAATTGGTTCTTCCAAATTGCAGAAGGAAAGGTTATGCTAACCAATGGACTACGGAGAGAGCGCAAAAACAAATTCACCAACGACATGCACAGTAGTGCTGGTGTGACAGTACACGTTAGGAAGAAGTGGAACATTATTCACAGCGAGACCCAAGAGAGCAGTGGTTACCTAGGAGAACTGTCACCAGAGGAACGAGACGGTGGAAAGGCACAAAGTCTGAGGCGTGGGGACTCTTAGGACTCCCTGATTAGCTCTTCCTCAATTCTTCTATGTTCTCTGCCCTTCCCTCCTTCTCTTTGTTTCCTTCCCTTGTCTTATTTGGTATCAAAGTCAGTATTTCTTATTTTCTTCTGTCCAGCATGTACTTTCCCTTTTTGCTTTTGGGGAATTACTCTGATTTTCTGTTAGTTGTGAGAGTCCCAGTGCAGGTCATGGGGCTTTGTTCGGAAAGCCCTCGGGCTCCCGAGGAATAAACTGGGTCAGGTTGCAGAAGAGGGAGGCTGGGTGGATATGCCCCAGGTTTGTGACGTAAAAGGGCCTTTAGTTCCTTCAAAGTTGTCCACTCCAGTTCATGTGAAGAAAAAGAGGCACTTTTTGTCAACGATGCATTTACTTGCCACCTTTTTATTCCTTTCAGAACACTGGCTAGTATGTCCCAGACTCTCACCCAGTTAAAATCAATAAAAACAAAGCTATAGCACATTTTTCACATTTTGAAATCAGGAGATATTATATTAGAGAAACTAGGTATAATTAATAATAGAGGAAGTGATAGATCACAGCCAGTAAACTAAAAAATATTAGCAAAAAGAAAAGATCACTTAAATTCAAGCTCAAAAAATACACTTGAATTGTGGAAAGAGCAAGAGAAGGTTGTCAGCACTCCTAGAAATCCAAAATTTCCTTCGAATTTCATTTTAATACCAGGTCTAACAAATTCTAGTAAAGAGTGATCTGAAAGCAACTATAAACACCATACATCTTTCCTTAGAATGATAAGGGTCTGTGTTTTAAAATTTTTTTAATTACAAAAATAATTCATGCTTCATATAATAAGTAAAAGTAGACAAAGATGTGTAAAGAAAAATTATGATCTCTCCTCAACGTCACTTCCTTCCCATCCCCAAGGTGACCAATGTCCACAACCTGGTGGTAGTGCAAAGCCGTTCGTTCCCAGTGATACCAACACAGACACACACGCACACTCACATACATTTACAAAAACTGGAAAATACGGAAATGAACAGGCATGGTGATGTTCGAATAAAACTTCATTTACAAAATCAGGGGTGGGTCAGATTTGGCCCAGAGGCCTTATCTTTCCAAACTCTGCTATGGATCAATTTAGGGAGAAATGACATCTTAACAATATTTAGTCTCCCAATCCATGAACATCATCTATCACTCCATTTATTTAGGTAACTTTTACTTTTTCTCAGCAATGTTTTGTAGTTTTCAGTGCACAGATCTGGCATATATTTAAAAATTCAGTTCTAAATATTTCATGGTTTTGGATGCTATGGTTATTCTAAAAAATTTTATTTTCAAACTGTTTATTTTTAGTACCATACATAAAAATACAACTGATTTTTGAATACTAGCTTGTGTCCTGCAACCCTGCTCAATTCAATAAGTTGTGGTAGTTTTTTTGTAGAACCTAGGAAATCTCTGGATATCCTAGGCATTTCATCACAGAAGGAGGGAGGTTGGGCTGAGGTAGAGAGGAAGAAAGTACAGTCATCCCTCAGTATCCGAGGGGGACTGAGATACCAAATCCCAGGGATACCGAAATCCTCAGGTGCTCAAGTCTCTAAAATAAAACGGCTAGTATCTGCATATAACCTAAACACATCCTCCCCTATACTGTAAATCATCTTAGATCACTTATAATACCTAATGCAATGTAAAGGCTACGTAAATAGTTGTTGTACTGTATTGTTTAGGGAATAACAACAAGAAAAAAGTCTGTACGTGTTTAGTACAGACACAACTATTGGAGGCCTTTCCATCCGAGGTTGGTTGCATCTGCGCATGCAGAACTGCAGATATGGAGGGCTGACTCTAACTAGTTGGAAATAGAGGATATTAACTAAGAAGCCAGTGCTGAGGCTGCATAAGGGTTAATGGGAGAGAAAGTACATGACTCAAGAGAATATTCTCCCTCCCTTGTTGCCATAGGACCCCATCCTGGAACAACAGTAAAGGAAGGGCCAAGACTGGACTGTGGAGGGGCTGGAAGTAGGGGACGGCTCATCCTAGGAGATAAGGGCAAGTTCCTCTGGTTATCAGGTTGGGACAGCTGGTCCCAGAAAGCCAATTACACAGAAGTGGTAGAAGTACATTCACACAGAGTAGAATATAAAATACAAGCTCATGCCCACATGGTCCTCATATACTTACGAAGCCCCGTGTGTACTGGTTCAGGCTATCAATTGCTGCAATCTTTGACAATTCTTCCTTTACATACGTAGGAGGGGATATGTCTGGAAGGCCTTGGCCAAGATTCACAACAGAGGGGTCTGCAGCCAACTTGGTAAATTCAATCCTAATATAAAAAAATACTAATTTTAACAAGTACTATAGTTACAAAAATAGCTTTTTTATACTTCATAGTCTTATTATGAACGGAAAAATAAGACATAGTTTAGTTTTACAGATTAAAAAAAAATGAGTTTCCAACAAAAATTTTACCATCTACAAAATGACTTGACCTAATAAAATGATGGCTCAACTAATGAACTTAATGTTTCTTACAAATCTCAATTCCATGATACCCATATTTAAGTCATATATATATTTTTTAACCATACCAGCAGCTGCTAGGTTCTCTTAACAACCATGAGAGAGCAGAGCTGATCAGGACAGTTCATGGATTAGAAGGTAAGTTCCATGAGGGCATCAACAAAATTTGTCCTTTTCTCCACCCATTTCCAACTATTTCTAGCACAGGGCCTGACACATTTGCTAAATGAATAAATCAGTGCATGGATTGTTAACTCCCTTCCATTTCCATTTAATGGATGAATTAAAATAAGTGGTTTTATTTACAGACTATGAATAAGGCTAAAAATTCCCAACTAAGGATATAAAAATGTGCAGGGAGAAAACCTCACCGAATTATTATTGCTTATTCTAAGGTACTCACCACACATTACTATCAAGGCCTTCGATTCGTTTTGCATTTTTGAATTTTGAAGACATTTTCTGAAAGATATAAATATTGAAAGGGCTTTTAAACTTCTTGAATCAAAATACAAAAATGTCAGAAAATCATGGGTAAGTCTTCCTTTTCCATATTGTCACCATGGAAAAAGCAGTACCATAAAGATAAATTCTAGACTCCAGTACAAAATTCTGTAGAGGAATTCATCTCCCACCTACTGCCCTAGGGAGGCTTTTTCTTAGATGTTTATCTTCTTGCACAACAACAAAAATATCATCCTAGCCTGAAATACAAGTTAGTATAAAGGCCTGAAATGCACTAAACAGAACAATAGTGATAATTTAAAAAGTCAGTTTGAAAAGATACCTTGAGTTGTGCTCTGAAGATCATTTTAGGTAAGACGTACTAACAGTTCACAAGTAAGTTCCTCGGATGGCATACGAGGCACTCAACAAATGGTTTTCAAACTACTCAATAAGGGGTTCCAAATAATCACACAGCTAATGTTAATGAGACTGAATGTTCCAGGCACTGTTCTAAGTGTTCTACATAAGTCACTCACTATTCACAACAACCCTCTGTAGTGGTTCTGTACGAGCCGTAATTTTCCTTTGAGGAAAGTGAGGGACAGAGAGGATAAGATCACATAACTTTACACATCTGCCCAAGTTTACGAAAGCAGTAACATTTAAACCCAAACAGATTCAACTCAGGATTTGAACCCAGGCAGTCTGACTCCAGAATACATACTCAGAACTATATCCATATACTGTCTATTATGTAACAAGACCTTCTAAAAACATTACTGGAATGCCGCCTCTTAAAAAAGTGTATTAGAGGGCCGGCCCGGTGGCTTAGCGGTTAAGTGCGCGCGTTCCGCTGCTGGCGGCCCAGGTTCGGATCCCCGGCGTGCACCGGCGTACCGCTTCTCCGGCCATGCTGAGACCCCGTCCCACATACAGCAACTAGAAGGATGTGCAGCTATGACATACAACTATCTACTGGGGCTTTGGGGGGGGGGCGGAAAGTGTATTAGACACTTAGATCAGGTCTACTTACATCAAGCAAGCTAGGGCTGTGGTAGGAAAATATTAAAAGTTAAAATTATGACACAGCATATAATTTTTTACTTCTTAAGATTCTAAAACTAAGTTTATACTATCTCTCAAAAGCACTGAATTAGCTTTGAGTTCAGGATAACAAGCTGCTGGAAATAAAGAAAATGATTGGCAGCCTTTTTATAAAGATTTTCCTAATAGAATATTAAAGTCATTTTAATTCAATGTGGGAGGAAGATAACGATAATGGTTACTAAATAGATCATTGTTCTCATTCTATTCCCAATAATGGAATCAAGAAGAATACTGTTTTACTCTCCTATTTTTAACCTTTAATACTCCAGTAAAGTGAATCACATGAAATTCCCCCAAGGGTAATGTGCTTCCAGAGCAGTGTTATGATTAAGTGCCCACCTGAACTTGATGCTATTCTAGAGACTACAATTATACAACAGAAAAGTCCCAGAATGACAGATAGAAAAAGATAATTTAACAACTGTCCTTTGCCATCTATAAAAAATGTTTAAAACTTAATGATTCATTTAGTATGTGACTACAAACACAAAGAGCAGATTCATATATAAAAAAGTGAGCAGTCTGTAGCAGAGAATCTAGACACCAAGTCCGATTTTACTTAATATATTCAGATAACTGAGGTCACAGTGCATTTTCAGATCCAATTTTCTTTAAAATTTGTGTCTAGAACAACCTTTTCTCTCACTACTCTCTCCCTGCCTCCACTCCTTCTCAACGCTATGCCTCAACCATTCTCATATTTCAAATATTCCGTGTTCTCTCTCACTTCCGTAGCTTCACATGTGATCATTCCTCTACCTTACTGGTCTTTCTATTCCAATGCTTCCCAACCTCGTTTTCATCACTGCCCCCCAAGGAGACATTTTATCTAATCATCTCTCCCGCTCCTCCGTTAAATCTTAAACATTAAGATTTTGTCATATAAAGTTGAGCTTTGCATGGTCACAAAACATTGTAAAGCTAAGGTTTATTTCACCTGCCAAGCATCAATTTTCTCCCCCTTGGGGGCAATAATGCCCCTGTTGGGAATGCATGTTCTACACTCAGTCTAATCCCTGGTCCCCACCACCCTGTCCCTGTACGTGGCTAACTCCCATTCCACCTGCCACCTTCAGTTCTCAGGTTAGACCTTATTTCCTCCAGGGAGCTTTCCCTGATTCCCCAAGTCAAGGTTAGAGCTCCTCTTACGTGCTCCTATCACATGGAGTACTGTCCAGCATTTACTACATAACGTTGTAAGTTTTCTATTTGTATCCTTCCTTAGATTGTAGCTCTATGAGGACTATTTCTAGCTTGTTCACTGATGTGTCTCTATATTAATCAGGATTCTCCAGAGAAACAGAACCAATAGGATGTGTATATATATACATAAATAGTGATATATTCTAAGGAACTGGCTCATGTGATTTCTGGGGGCTGCCCAGTCTAAGATCTGCAGAGCAGTCCAGCAGGCTGGAGACCCAAGGAAGAGCCGATGTTGCAGCTTGAGTCTGAAGGCAGTCTGGAGGCAGAATTCCCTCTTCCTGTGGGGGACCTCAGTCTTTTAAGGCCTTCAACTGATTGGATCAGGCCCACCCACATTATGGAGGGTAATTTGCTTAAAGTCTACTAATTTAAATGTTAATCTCATCTGAAAAATACCTTCACAGAGACATCTAGACTGGTATTTGACCAAATATCTGGGTACAGTGGCCTAGCCAAGTTGACACATAAAATTAACCATCCCAGAGTGACACAGAGTGCTATGCCTAGCACGTAGCAAGTTTTCAACAAATATCTGATGAATAAATGAAAAAAACCCCACACATCAGGAGTGAACTTATGGTGTTCGCTTAAGTTATGCTAGGTACTTATTGTTTCAGTCAGCTTAAGTTAATTTATGCTTCAATAGCAAATGACCCCAAAATCTCAGTGGCTTAAAATCATAAAGGTTTATTTCTTTTTCATGCTGCATATCCTCTGAAGGTCAGCTAGTGCTGTTTCATGTCACTGTCACTCTGAGACATAGGCTAATGAAAACTGCCTCTATCTGGAACACTGCCAGTTTCATAGCACAGGGAAAAAAAATTCTTGCAAGTTTTTGCTTAGCCGTACGCACATCACTTCCACTCACATTTAGCAATTTCACGGCTAAGCCTGCCAACAACATGGCACAATTGAAGTTTGGAGGTATAAGAAGATAGGCAGTTGTTACGGCTTGAATTGTGTTCCCCCCAAATTCATATGTTGAAGTCTTAACACCCAGTACCTCAGAATGTGACCTTATTTGGAAATAAGTTCACTGCAGATGTCATAAGTTGAGGTCATTAGGGTGGGCCCTAATCCAAGATGACTGGTATAAAGAGAGGGAATTGGGAGACAGACTGGCATACAGGGAGAATGCCACTTGATGATGAAGACAGAGAATGAGGCGACACTTCTACAAGCCAAGGAACGCCAAACATTGCCAGCAAACCACCAGAAGTCAGGGGAGAGGCATGGAACAGATTCTTCCTCAGAGCCCTCAGAAGGAATCAACCCTGGCGACACCCTGATCTTGGACTTCTAGCCTCCCAAACTGTGAGGTAATACATTTTTGTTGTTTAAGCTGCTTAGTTTGTGGTACTTTGTTAAGGCAGCCGAAGGAAATTAATAAGTGGTGAAAATGTATAAGACAGCCTACAATGTCCAAAGACACCAAGATTCAGCAGTAGGTGCAAATGCTCACTGTCCAAGATGGACTTTCCAGAGTGGATCCAGTGTTGGGAAATTAAATAAACCTGGAATCCTATGGGGAATTAAGTGTGAGCCCCAGGTGTATAAATTCTATAATGCCTGTATAATTTCTGGACCAGCTAACTCCACAAGGTGGCTTCTGCTCCCACGTAGGCTAATGCCTGGCATACATATACTGGACTGCTATGTTATAAACACAAAACTGCTAGTGAAATAATTAGCAGCATCTTTTTTTTTTTTTTTTTTTTTTTTTAAGAGGCTGAAAAATGCAGTTCTACAGAATCACCACTACATGCCACTCTTGGCAGAGATGAGAAAAGGTTTCTTGTTATTAAGTCTTGAAAACGTTTACTGCAATGGTGCTGGAACAAGGAAAGTTCAGAAAGAAGAAAAAAAATATTACCCAGTATCCTAAGACCCTAAAATTTCAATTGTATATATTTTGAGGAGTCTGCCTTTAAGACCTGCTGCATTCAGGTGAGATAGGACAGGTGCAGAAAGTCTTCCCAAATGGTGGGCTGAAGCTGGGAAATCAAGGCTGGTAATATCGATGAAGCACAGGCTATGAGTCAAGCATAAAAAAGATAAAAGAGTGCAAGACAAGAACAGAAACAGAAATAACACAGCTAACGGTTGGAGACGTGAGGACAATAATCAGGTGTTAGAAGCAGGTAGACTCAAGTACTTCAAGACTAGGCTGGAACAGACAGTGAGTACCCGCATAATGGGCCCGCCTTGAACGTGGCGCCTGGCTGCTGGGGTAGCCAAAACATGTATTCTCTTTTAGAGCTATGAATTAGGTGTTTATCATTGCAATCCCTTGTAATGTTTTTATACATCTTGCCTTTTCTCTCAAGAGTATCAAACATTTCATGAATTCTCTTAGTCATCGTAAAATTTTCACTTTTGATTAGTAGGTAATATTTCAGGTTGTTCATGTATCACACTTGACTCATTCATTCTCCCAGTGTTTGGATATTGGTTGTTTCCAGTGTATTGTAATTGTAGGCAGTGCGTGTCTACTGTGCTCTGTGTCCTTTAGTTTTAAAGTTTGATGTGGAAGGTGAATGCCCTATTGTAACACAAGTATTAATTATCACAAGAAAGATGACAAAATTCTCAACATCACAGTCACCTGGTTCTATCTAAACTAACCAAACACAGTAACTTTAGACTTACTTTTATGGAAATATATATATATATATTCCATATATATATATGGAATTTATAGATATATACATATATAAG